TGTTGGGGGCAATATGCTGACTCTCTGTAAACCGCTTAGAGAGGCCTGAAAGGCCTATGAAGCGGTATATAAGTCTACTGCTATTGCTATTACCATCTGCCTGCCCTGGTTGCTAATCTCAGCAACTTTGAAATGCATGGATTTCAATTCCCAGAATTCTTAGCTATTCCCTTGCTGGTTGGGGAATTCTGGGGTTAATCTGGAATTATTTATTGGCCAAGTGTGAGACTGGACATACAAGGGATTTATTTGGTGCATAAAAGATATAAGTGATAAACCATGATCAGAGTCATCGTAAAAATACATTCATCATAAATCATAAGACACAACACTTAATGATAGTCACAGGATACTAAATAAGCATAAATCAACATAAGTCATACTAGGAAACTAAACAAACAATATAAACCGTAAAGAGACAAGCAACAAAGTTACAGTCATAAGTAAAAAAGGAGATAGGCAATATGGGATAGGATGAAAAGAATCATAGTAATACTTAATAAATAGTTTGACAGAGTGTTGTGGGAATTAGTTTTGTTTAGCGGAGTGATGGCATGGGCCAAAAACTGTCATCACTAAATAAATCCCTAAATAAAGCCCACCCATCTCGAAACTGCACAGATTGGGAAACGTTGGCTGTTCCCTCTAAAGTCCGATTTTAATTGCTGGGACCCATCATTTTGTGCCCAGGCCAAATCAGTGACTTTCCAGAACACAAACTTTCTTTCGGGGGCATTGTGATGGCGGTTATTTATTTGAAAGAGAAAGTGACAAACACAGAGTGAAAGCAACATTTTCCAAGTGCCGAGTTACTCACAGGAATTCGATCGATAGGGGTTGGTATCTGGAATATTTCTGGGCAGCGAAAGAGCCTGGATGGTTTTGTGGTAATCCAGGAGCCTCTCACTGACTTTGCCGTCTCCAGCTGAAAGAAAAGAAGGCTACTTAGGGCAGGTTGGAACCCAACACAGCAGCTTCCACTGGAAACCACTTTGGTTAGTTAGTTTACTTTGTCACTGCACCTCATACAATGAAATTAAATGCCATCTTCAGTGTACATTATACATAATAAAGCTATAAAAATAAAAATACACATCCTTTAGATTCTATACAACTGAATTAAAACCCCTGATATTGCAATTAATATTGCACTACACAGTAGAATTCAATATAGTTATTGCTCTGGGGTAGAAGTTGTTTTTCGGCCTACTTGCCCTTGTTTTTATTGTCCTGCACCACCTGCCAGATGGAAATAGTTCAAAAAAATAGTTCTCACTGTCAGAAAAATTATCCTTATTTCCAGGTGGAATCTCTCCTTGTTCAGTTTCCATCCATTGTTCCTTGTCTGGCCTTCGGGTGCTTGGGAGAATAGCTTGACCCCCTTCCTCCTCTCTGTGGCAGCCCCTCAAGTATTGGAAGATTGCTATCCTGCCTCCTCTGGTCCTTCTCTTCCCTAGACCAGCCATGTCCAGTTTCTGCAACCCTTCATCCTACGTTTGAGCCTCCAGTCCCCTAATCTGCTGCATGATTGTGGACTCCCAAAAGCCTTGGGACTATCAAGGGGGGAGAATGTCTCATGCTATCCATTCCTTTGAAGACACGGCTTCCTAACTTTCTGCAATAACTCCACATAGCTTAACTTACTTGCATTCAACTGGGACCAGAGCATAAAGCAAGTCGTTCGACTGGCGTACCTGTTTACACAGCTTTGGGGAATAAACACCTACTCTGATTCCAAGGGAGACGCAAGCGGAACTTGGGGAGGTACTCACAGGTAAAATGGGAAGTGATGAAAAGGAAGGACGTGCCGAAGAACGTGAAGCAAATTCCCAGCGCACCCTTGGTCTTGAACTGAGACACGATGCGCGTGGTCACTGTGGCATATTCCACCTCTGTGGGAAGAGAGAAGCAGCACGGCCTGTCAAGGAGGCTCAGACCAGATGGGGATAGACCTTCTCCTCAATACCTGGGGTGGAAAATGCTGCAATTTAATGAAGGCCTTCAGTTCCGCCTTCTAAGCCTGCAGCTTTCTTCCCACCAAATAAAAACAAGGCTGTCTGGCGATTCAGCAACATTCCCATGGTAGAAGCAACTGAAAAGGCCACACGGGATTCATCGCTGGCCGGGCCTACCTGAGCAAAACCAGATGAGGTCCCTTCGCAGGAAGAAGGCCAGGTAAAGGACCCCGTGAGCAGCTGCGTAAGACATGACGTACTGGGGGCCCAGCGTTGTCTGCAGGCGAATCTCCCACTCTCGCCTGCAGAAAGAAAGCAAAGCCAATTGGCCACTCGGTCCTGGAGCAGCTCGGAGGTCAGCAGGCCTAATCCAAACTCAGAAAGGACTTCTGGGCCCCAGTCAGGCTGATTCAGAGGACACAGGATCGCCCGGAAGCACTCATCATTCGCACTCGCTCCGTGTGGTTGGGACCCTCCGCTTGGCTCCCAATTCCTGGCAGGGAACGGCCCACCTGCACTCTTCTCCCGAATGCTGGCCTCTGGTCACGCCTGCTGAAGTGAAGAGGGAAGGAGAAGACGGGACTAAGATTGCCAAGGGAGCCCTGGCAGCCTTCGCCCAAAGTTCTGCCTCATTGCAAAAGAGGGCTTGCGACAGCCTTACCCCATGGAGGGTGGTGATCATACTTGAAGCTCAGAGAACACCAAGGGGAGGAAGGAAGGAAGGAAGGAAGGAAGGAAGGAAGGAAGGAAGGAAGGAAGGAAGGAAGGAAGGATACATGAAAGGAGGAAGGGAGGAAGGAAGGAAGGATCCCTCAGCTACAAAGATGCTTCTGTTTCCATACCTATCTGGACAGCCTTCTTGGATCCCTATCACATACATGTCCTGTGCATAATCGGGCTCAGACGGCAACAGGAAGTCATCCAGCACCTCAGGGAGCTCCTGCAAGAAAAAAAATGACCTTCCCAATTGTAGAGGAGCCCCACAGGCCGACTGGGGGGCTCTAGCTGCCAACAAGAAATGATACAGGGGGTCAAATCCATTTTTTCTGCCTGCAGGATGCAAACACTTTTTCTGTTCACCTGAGTTGGAATTCAGAAAATGGACAAATTACTTAATCCACGTTATTTGGAGAATTAAGGTGACTCTGCTTCTCCTGCTATCCTTGGCACTACTTGTGAAATGATGCACAAACAAATACTTATTTCAGGTACAAAGCATTCTAACAAGGACAACTTCAAGTCCCATCTGTAAAGTGGCAAAAACAAAAGAATCCCACAAGGAAAGGCTCCCGTTTTCTTTTGTTTTCTCACCTACAGATCACCTCTAGAAAGCTGGACTAACCCATCTGCTTCTTTCCACTCTTTTATTACATTTCCCAGAAAAAAAATGGTTTGTGGAAGAAAAGCTGAAAGGGATTAGAAAACACTCCGTGTCTGGGAATGGAGGAGCTGCAAGTGGATTTATGGATCCAAGACTGCTGGTTAGTCCCGACAGGTTGCACATATCCTCACTGAACATGCTTCCAAATCGTTTGCATTAAAATATGCACTTGACAGGCAAAATTAGAATCACTTGCCAGAAATATCTGCAGAGTTCATGGTGTAAAAGGGCAAGTGTGCAGTAATGTTTTCCCAGGGAGAAAAGTGTGTGAGCCCGACCTGCCAATTCTGTAGGCCAAGCTGAGCTGAGCCTTCATTTTTTCCTCCTGGACTTTCCTATGAAAACTTCTGGTGGTTAGAGAAGGACCGTGACCCCCTCACTTCCTCACCTTCTGGCCCTGCATGTTCCAGGTGGCTACAAAGATGCCAATGTTGCGATCAGGAAAATACCGGTTCAGCTCTTCTGCTCCCAGGAGGGCACCACTAGCAAGAAGGCTGCCTTCCAAGTAGCTTCTGTAGAAAAGGATATTCTGTTTTGTTGCGTTGAGACAATCTACAGGGAAGGTTGATAGGCTTGACTTACCTGTGGAAAGTCAACTAAGGCTGAACTCAGGAGTCAGAAGCCAAAAGGGGAAGAAAGGAGGAGGTGAGCCAGGCCTTTCTTAGCTCCAAAGTCTCAGGGTAGCTGTGGAAAAGTGCTCCCCTGAAAAAGCTCCGCTGGCACTGGAGTGATATGGGAAGGGGGGAGACGGGGGGGAGGGGGGGGAAGAGACCCAGAGAGAGGTCTTCTTCAGTTCAGTGAGAGGCAGCAGTTACAATGCTCAGGAGGACAAACTCAAATCATGAAGCCCACTGGGGGGATGGGGGTGGGACAATCCTTATCTCCACATTTAACCTCCCTTGACAAGGCCCTTGCCAAATGAGCAGGGAAGGGTAAAGTTCCCCTGAAAGATTAAAGCACTGTTGGGACCACCGTGACCTGGAGGGCTGAGAATCTCTACAGACCCAAGTGTGAAGTTGTGTTGGCTTCAAAGATCATGGGCAGAATTTTTGCTAGAAGAACAATGTTGCGCCACACACAGAGTCGTCTTTTCTCCCTGTTATTAAACCCGGTCACCAGGGATGGTGGGTCTCCCTGAGGCACTTTTTAAAGCCCTCCCAACCTGTGCAAAGTAGAGCTGGGTGGCTAGCCACTCTTTCCTTCCCCATTCTCCCGACCCAAAGCCTGGAATGGGAGGGGTGGGCAAGAAAAGATATACTGCAATGCAATCAGGATTATTCCACGATAAACAGGTTCTCTAACCCATGAACAGCTCACTTCTGCTAGTTTTCTACCTTAACCATGGATGGCTGCATGCACCTGAAGGACAAAACAGCCACTGAAATATGGTGCCCTCCTGTTATCAAGGAGCCTCTCTAGGACTTGGCCTCGATTTTAGAGAGGGACAGGCTAGCCCATCCCACAGTCAGTGGTTCCTAGACAGGGAGGCTCCTCAGAGCTAGCTCAGTGGTGTCAGAAGTCATTTTATCATGGATTTCTCCTTTCTCAAGATGAAAAAAGTGTCCTATTCCTGATGAATACAAAACAGCCTTCTTTCTACAGAAAGATCAGCAAAACAGCAACAGGGGCTTCCTCCTCACAGGCTACCCTATCCTTCTGTTGGCAACTCCAAGGCTGAAGCTGAGCTAGCGATCCTTCTCTTTATGCCAGGGATCTAAGCAGCTGGGCTGGGAAGGCAGGGTGGAGTAGTGTGTACGTAAACAGCACTATCTCTGCAGACAGATAACTTTCTGAAGAAGAGTAAGCAAAATCTTATCATCTAAAAGCTACACACTGAAAACTGACAGGGATTTAACATCAACATTAGTGGGGGAGGGGAGTATTAGGTTGCTGCTAAAGCATCCTTCTAAGAACCCCCCCCACACACACAATTTTCCGTTTCCGCATTCAGATTTCCTTAAACAAAGAAGAATTTGTCTTAAAAAAATTGCAAAGGCCATGTCCATATTGGAGCGGGGGGGGGGGGGGGATTGCCACCCTCATGGTCCCTCTGACCCAAGATACACACCTGTTTCTCACGTCGGTGATCCGGATGGGGGCCAGTAGGCTGAAGGTCGATTTGGTGGAGGCGGCCAAGCAGTGTTCGCAAGCCATTCCCCGGCTCTGAAGCTGCGTGTCGCTCCAGCTGCTGCCTGCTCTTGGAAGCCCCCTCCAGGAGCCCAACTTGTACTCCGCGCAATCTGGGTCAATCCTATTAGTTGTCCTCAGAGAAGGAAAGGAGCCCTCAAGTTCCAGAGGAGGTGGAGGCTGGGAGGCCAAGACCTTGGACAACTTCCGGGGTGAAGCTGAAAGGCTGGGTCTGCTTTGGCTGAGGTGGGGACCCTCGGAGCCTGGGTTCAAGTCATGCCGAGGCTGGAGATGGCGGTGGTTGCCGCTGGAGGCGCCTTCCTGCTTGGTGGGGCTCTCTCCCTGGAAAGACCCATCGGAGGAGCCCCCCTCAGTGGAATCAACCGAATTCCCTTGATTCATTCTGAAAGGCCTCCTCCTCCTCCGCCAGATCAGTTCGTCCAGAGATGACGTCCGCTCCAGCCTCGGTTTACGGGGAGGCTTTGGAGTGAATGACTTGAGCCCAGCTGGGGCTTGGGATCCTTCTAACTGCAGTCTGAAAGGATCGTTGGAAAAGGGGAGCTTGGTTTCTGGGGGGGCCTCGGAGAGATGGTCCCCACTGCTGCCTGCCTCTTGCCTTGCAGAGCAGCTCTCCTCCTTTGGCTGCAAGATTTGGGGCCCATCGCTTGAGAGGTGCTCCATTGTCTGCTAGGAGAATCCATGAGATGCACCAACTAGGAAGAAGTCAAAGAGCCACTCTTTCTTACTAGCCAAGTTTCCATCTTAGAGGAAAAACCTGAAGAGGAATATGAGGGGAAAATGGTCAGGGAAGGAACCCTAAAAGTGCTAGCCAAGCTGGTGTGGCCCTTTGTGTTGCCCCTGGAAACGTTAATGATTGAGATTAGCCAAGCCTTCTGTTTTAATTGCAAAAGTTTGAGACCACCCAATGGATCCACTGATGTGCCTAGTATTAGTTGGGTCATTCCCATTTTAAAAATCAGAGGTTCATGAAACAAATCAGAATTGTAGGAAATTATTATTAGAGTAGATTCATCTGGAAGAACACTATTCACCTCATGATTAACTTGGTGATGATGAAAATCCCTTAAATAGTTTATACACAGCCTTTAAAAGAAACTAGTTTATACTCAGCAAAGTATCAGATGTAAAGACAGGGATATCGAAGTGGGAAAAACACATATATGGCTGCAATCACAATTGCAACCATAAATGTTATCAATACACAATTGGTAACGGAGCACAGAAGAACTCACAGAGGACTAGAAAAGAGCTGACATGATTTCCATCTTCAAAAGAGGGTGGGGGGAAATGGGTCCAGGAAACTACAGAATGGGAATACTTGGGAAAATGCTAGAAAAGATAATCAAGCAATGAATCAGCAAACACCTAAAGGCAAGCAAAGTTATAACCTGAAGCCAAAATGGGTTTGTCAAACCCACATCATGTCAGACAAATCTTATTGCATTCTTTGACAAAGTGGCTAAATTAGACCACTGAAATGCTGTGGACATAATTTACTTGGATTTCAGTAAAGTATTTGATAGACCACAACCTACTACTCGATAAGATAGAAAAAGATAATATCATCAGACGGATTTGTAAGTGGCTGACCAACCACACTCAATGTGTAGTCCTGAAGGGAAGTCTGCAGTGCGGGTTTGGGCTAATACTCTTCATAAAGGATTTAGATGAGGAAATAGAAGGGGAACTCATCAAATTTGCAGAGGACACTAAGAAAGATCTTGACAGACTTGAACACTGGGTCCCATCTAACAAAAAGAAATTCAATAGTGAGAAAAGTAAGGTTTTAGGCAGGTAAAATCAAATGTAGAGGTACGGAATAGGTAGAAGCTGGCTCAACAGCATTAAGAGGAACAGTGAGAGTGATGCAGGAGTTTTAGAAGACAACCATTTAAGTAAGAGCCAGCAGTGTGCTGCAGTTACCCAAAAAAGCCAATTAACTGAATCAAGATCACATGAAGGGTTAGTACCACTTTATAAGTGGTAAGATCACACTTGAAATGCTGTTGAGCCAGCTTCTACCTATTCCGTACCTCTACATTTGATTTTACCTGCCTAAAACCTTACTTTTCTCACTATTGAATTTCTTTTTGTTAGATGGGACCCAGTGTTCAAGTCTGTCAAGATCTTTCTTAGTGTCCTCTGCAAATTTGATGAGTTCCCCT